AGAACTAAACTATTGTTGTATGTAAAGTAAATAAGGTTTTTAAAATGTTTAAGAAGCTTCATTTAAAATTAAATTAAAATGCACAGCCCCGCCCCCTCCCCCCGGACTGGTGACAAGGACCCGGGCAGTGAGTGCCACTGAAAATCAGTTCGTGTGCCACTTTCGGCACGTGTGCCATAGGTTGCCTACCCCTGGCTTAGATTATCCATTCATACAAAGTTTGTTTTAAAAAAGTCATAGGATACATATAGTGCATAATGCCAAAGTAGCGAAAGGATGGATGGACTTCACAAGGGTATCTCATCATTGCAGAGTAAGCCTGAGCTCACTTGTAGGGACATGAGAATGGGGGCGAGTAATACAAGACTATTGGCATGAAAACAATGGCGAGGGGAGAATTTTGGCAACACTTCCAGGATTAAGGCAGGAGACCATTTTAGTTGTACCTAATTATGTTAACTAGCTCCTCCAGCTTTTATGGTGACTGAAGTACTGCTCTCAGAAAGAGAATTGCTCATGTAAAGAAGTTGAGGTTACAATAATAATTTGATTCCACCAGAGGCTCTCTCAATTTTTTAGGACTACATTGGTATCCCTTGACACAATGGGCTTTAATAGGCTTTAGATCTGGCACAGTATTAATAACCCTAAGAGACGAAGCACAATTCAATTTACCTTCCACTGGTTCGCAGGAAACTGAAATTAAAGTTACACGAGCTCGAACCTGAGGGAAATACAACAGAACCTCACTAATTTGCACTCATGATTGGGATACCCCTGGAGAATTACTGAAATGAGAGAGTGAGCAGGGAAGTGAACAAACGCAATGAAAATCAAAAGGCCAGGATAATGCATTTCTCCAGGTACAGTGCTTTGCTCATTTAGCTTGACAACTGTAGTTAGTTTAAATGTATGCGAGCGCTTGAATAGAACTCTAGGAAATGTGGTGTTGTATATTTTGTGTAAACAATGGGCCACATCACCAGCTGGTATAAAATTGGCGTAACTCTAATCAATGAAGCTACCCTGATTTACACCAGCTGATGAGTTGGCTCAATGAGGTAAGAGTTCACTAGAGTGCCCGACTATTGGTTCTTTGTTGAGCTGTGGGGCGAGCGGCATCATTTGTGGGACGTATAACGTGTGTAACTCAGCAAAGAGCCGATTACCGAGGTTCTGACATGATCTGGAATCTAGACACAGATGGATGTGGAAGGTAATAGAGCAGTTCCTTTCGGAGACGAGAAAGGGAAATGGTTGCCTCATGGCCATACATATCCCTTCCAGATGCACAGGGCTGGTGAAAGACACATAGATACCGGTCGGGGGAAGGCTAAACATCACCGTTTCCACCTCCTCCTCTGCTTCCCAGGGATGGATTTGGGGGTACAGGTGAGGTTGTGCTGGAGCACAAGCAGGGAATTGCCAGCTCGATGGCATCATCCCGCTTCAAGACTGCGGAAATTCTGCCCACCTATTGTGCCGAAGCAAATACGAGGCCAGAAGGGACCTTTGCGATCATCTAGTCTGATCTGTATAACAAAGGCCAGAGAACTGCCCCAACATAATCCCTAGAGCAGATCTTTTAGAAAAACATCTCTATTTAAAAATTGTCAGCGATGGAGAATCCACCACGACCCTTGATAAATTGTTCCAATGGTTAATTACTCTCACGGGTAAAAAATCTACACCTTATTGCCAGTCTGAGTTTGTCTAGCTATAGAAGAGCGGGGTGCTATCATTATCATTAACATATGGACCGCCCCTGTGCATCGAAACCCTAACATCCAGGCAGATCCTGGAATATTTGATTCCTTCCCAGGAAGCATGGCCATCTATTTAAAATTCCCCCTAATTCTGGACCTGAAACGTGACCTCTGTCATGAATTACGCACAGGCAATGGCAGGTGAAGTAATTGCCGGTGCAAATGTTGGATTTAAGTGTCCTAATTCTGTTCTCATGCCAGTCTCACACTGGTGTAACTCCATTCACCTCAATGGGGAGTCACTCCTGCTTCCCCCAGCATAAATGAGATCAGAATCAGGCCCCAGGCCATTAGATGTCTAAATTGTATCACTTTTCTCCTCTGTTGGCCACAGGTAAAAAATTAGAGGCTGGGCTGAAGCTGCTTGGAAGATTTAACCCTTCAAGGGCTGCTGGGTGGAGAGTGACTCTGTAGAACATAGTAACACCCTGTCTCCGGAGAGGGAGAGGGAGAGAGAGAGAGAGAGAGAGAAAGAGAGCGCGCGCGCATTCTGGGGCCCTAATTCAGCCATGTATTTAAGCACATGTTTTACTTTACGCGTGTGAATACTACAGAAGATTTAAAATTAAGCATTAAACATCGAAATTAAGCCTGTGCTTAAGGGTTTTGCTGGATTGGGACTTTTCTGATTTCATTTTTGAATACCGCATAGTATCTGCACAGCGATGTCTATAAAAGGCTGACCAAGCATGGGATTTTATAAGACGACAGGAGCCCTGTTTTCTTTCCTTCTAATGCAGAGGTTCTCAAACTTTAGCAACCCGAGGACACCCCATTTTGATTTAAAAATTTTCACGGACCCCTAAACCCCCCACTCAGCCCCAGGATCCACCCTGACTCCATCTCTTCCCCCAAGGCCCCACCCCTGCCCCACCTCTTCCCTGCCTCTCTGCCCCCTCCCCCGAGCGCGCCTCATCCCCGCTTCTCCCCCTCCCTCCCAGCATCTCCCGCACACCGCTGAAAAGCTGTTCCTCGGCATGCAGGAGACACTGGGAGGGAGGGGGAGGAGTTAAGGGAGGGAAGAGGTGGAGTTGATCAGCGGGGCCGGTGGACCCCCGGAATACCCTCACGGACCCTCAGCGGTCCACGGACCCCCGTTTGAGAAACGCTGTTCTAATCAAACTTTCAAATACAGTCTAATACTTACCTCCAATGACTGCCACATCTACTGTCGCTGAAGAACCCCCGTGATCTCCAGCTACAAATAGAGAAGAATACAGAAAAGTTAAGTAAATGAAATGGCTTGCATGATGTGTGACTGCAGCTCCCTTCCTGAAGGGTGCGATAGTATTTTAACCTCTGTAACATGAAATGTAGAACTTAAATGAGATCTCTGATTTAGCATCCATAAAATATCTAATTAAAACTGGGTGCATGGTAGTGGTATTGTATCAATATAATGCTTGGGAAAGAAACAGCCAACACATAGCGCAAATTCTCTTTGCCATCAGGGAAACACACCTACTGTTTCTTATGATCACTTACCTGTAACATCCTCTGATGAATGATGAAATTAAGAGTATCTGGGCAGTGTGATTAGTCTTGGAAAGTCAGTATGGGGGACAAAAAAGGGATGCCTATTTTGGACAGGATTCTCGTTTGGTATAAATTAGTTTAGTTCCATTGACTTTAATTACCATTATGTCTCAGCATCATCATCGTGTTTTATTTTTTAAATGTATATTTGGAGGAAAGCCAGACCTGGTGTGAATACGGTATAAGTTCAACACTTTCTTGCACCACATCTGAATGTGGCCCTTCGAAGATAAATTATAGCTTATAACTTCTAAGCAGATAATCTTAGAATTTAAAAGCATAAGAAGATGATGCCGTGGCCTTTTCAGTATCTGAGATCAGGAATTTGGTTGAAAAAGTCATAAACTGCTGGGGAAAAAAAATAGCATTTACTAAAAAATTGAAACCAACAAAAAACCGAAAAACAAACCAAAACACAAAACCACAGGGAGAAAAAAACAACTAATGAAAAGCTGTAGTGTTTGGAGAAAATACAAAACAAAACAATGACATTTTCCCCTCCTTATCATCTGATACAGGGGTGGGGAAACTTTTTGGCCCGAGGGCCACATTGGGGTTGCAAAACTGGATGGAGGGCCAGGTAGGGAAGGCTGTGCCTCCCCAAACAGCCTGTCCCCCACCCCCTATCCACCCCCTCCACTTCCTGCCCCCTGACTGCCCCCCTCAAGTCCCCCAACCCATCCAACAACCCCCCATTCCTTGTCCCCTGACCACCCCCACCCCTAACCGCCCCCTCCCAGGACCCCCCAGCTCTAACCGCCCCCTAGGACCCCACCACTTATCCAAACCCCCTGCTCCCAGTTCCCTGACTGCCCCAATCCCTATCCACACCCCCACCCCCTGACAGGCCCCCCGGTAC